CTCACCATCGTGGTGGCGAAGTTTTTCACTTGAAAGTCTGAAACCCTTCAACATAGCTTCTTCGCTTGAAGGTTTTTTGTCGCTTATCATCATTGTTCTCTGTCAAAAACCGATTGAAGGGGAGAAAATTTGGAAATGTTGACAAAAAAAAATCGACCATGCCTTATTTATAAGAAAAACAGACACAAAATTCGAGGGAGTTCAATTTTTAATACTTATTACTTAATAAATAAGTCAAAATATACAAGTAATTCTCTTATTCTTATCGCAGTTGTCACTTTCAAGAAAAAGGAGAAGTTAGAAACAAAATATGTACATAAAAAATATGACTGCACGAATCTAAAAAAAATCAACGAAACTCACTAAGAATATATCGAAGGACCGCATTAAGATGGTCGAAAGACAGAGGCGTCAAATGATGTTTCATTCGGTTGAAATCATGGGTTGACCGAAGGAAAGTACAGTCGAATGAATAAATATTATGCAACTAATCTGAGGGACAATCTTGTTTAGCCAATTCCCTCAACCAATTTTGGGATTCTTCACAAAAGTTGACAATGGTCATCTCATAATACTTTTTAACAATCCTCTGTGAATACCTCTTGTCTGAAGGAGAGCTTCCCATCAAATTACGATGACAAGTCCTCTGTCTGATGGTCTAAGTTCACCATAATGATAAGGCTCTATAAGGGGTTCTTTCAAGAAGTTCGATCGAAGACCTTCCAACCAATTGAACAATCATGAGACGACTGAATGCTAATATCATTCAATCATTAATGCTCCAATTCAAACAATTATGATGAAACAGTGCCAACGATGGTTACAAATATAAAAGGATCACATAGTCAGTTACGAATATGTAAATGCGTCATGATACATGAATCACTTGTAACATTCATGTTAAAAAAGAGGCAAACATGTGACATAGCACATCCCTATGATTTATAAATAGGAGGGTCATTTCTTTAAGAGGGAACTATTGAATCTATTCTTAAAGAACATATGTTATTGTTCACTCTACTTCTCATTCTCTTTATTCTTCTAATCCGTCAAACGCTTCATTCCTTGGGTATGATCCACAAAATATTTTGGGATCCAACAATCTGCATACCACTTAAATCTGTATCTTCTCAAAATATCACAATTATCATCTCTTACGGAATGAAGAACACATTTGCATACATAGATTTATACACCAAAATGTCATAAATATAAATGATATGAAAATACTACGACAGGCATGTAAATTTCCCTAAAAAAATTGTAAATTTTATGTCAAAAACTGTTGGGACATAAAAAACTTATATCCTGAATAAATCTCAACTAAACCCTTAAATTAAAAATCACTAAAAGATTGAGCAGATCAAAAAAAATGCTGGGCAAACAATAACAAAACAAAAATGAAATAAGATAGATGACAGACACGACCTAACCAAAGTAGGCTTAATTCAACCCTACTTATTGGTCCCGGTAAATTTGCTTTGATTAAGGATTTAAGGGTGATATCAATTTTAAGATTTCAATATTGACCTACCAAAAATGGATCAATTTCGAGTCAAATCACAACCTAAAATAAATGCATTAATTCTATATTTTATTTAAAATATATATTATAAAATCCTATAACTGCATTTTTTTTTTATCTTCCCATCCACTATTTTACAAGCGCTTTAAAGAGAGAAAAATTCATATACACAAACTTCTTAAAAAATATTTGAATGTGTAGTATACTGATCAGAAATAAAGTTAAGAAAATCTACGATTTATGCTTTGAGAACTCACCATGAAATCAACAAGAATGGCCAGCCATAGGCCAAAATCTATCGTTTCTCAGATTGCCCAAAGTATTTCCCTGCTATAGCGATCAAAATGCTGAGCATTGAAACCTCATCATCAACTCGAGATTTTGCAGCAAGAAGGCTCGAGCACTTGCGTAGCAGGCATCTCATAGAAGCACAAGTATCAACATTCAGTGGCGCATCTACAGTTGCTGAGAGGGCGAATAGCCACAGGCAGTCTGTTCTTGAGATGGTGCTCGATGCCTCGAACGAGCTTATGCTGCTTCGAAGAATCGAAGCTCGCGAGGACGCATCCATGGCGAGAATTGCAGTTAGTGTAGGATCGCCTCTTGGCACCTGCCTGCAAGCCGAAGGCTTTGGAGACTCGTTGGTTGTGCGAGAATTTTCAAACTCTGAAAAAGCCTGAAAGGGGAGTTCCAGTTTAACATCA